TATCTATCTATCTATATAAAACCATATATTATTTTATTTTTATTTGCATTTGCACTTAAGTAAATAGACATGGTCTGTTCTGTTCAGGTGTAATTGACGCAATCACAACGATAGCAAACCAAGTTTATTCAGGTGTGTAAAAAGTGCTAATTAATAAGTTACCAATAGGTAACTTGCAGTCTGTCCATTCAGCATTTTAATTAAATGACATGTAATGATATTTACATCTTTTAAAAAAAAGCACTTATTGGTATTGTATTTTTTTAAATGTTGAATGAAAATTACGTCTAAATACTGAATGGGGCAGACCTTTCATTTCACAATCGTATTTTTTATTTTTATCAAACTACATGTCCACAAAATCATACTAGTTTTGTACACTCTATTAATTTTCATAAAATACTTCAAAAATTATAACAATTATCTAATATCCTATTATTAAATTTATTTTTTTAGAAGCGAAAGGTGAATTATCAAAGAATGCGGTTGCTTTTGCACGTCCATTAATTAATGAAAATATTGAAGAAGAACGTAGAAAAGCTCGTACGTAAATAATATAATATATTTGTATTTTTTTTTTTATAATAATTATTTATTTATAATTACATTTATTACTATTTATATTTTGAAGAATCGTCACAACAGAGATTAGATGCTATGCAAGATGAATTAATGCAAATGCAATTGAAATATCAACGTGAACTTGAAAGATTGGAAAGAGAGAATAAAGAATTACGAAAACAAATGTTATTAAGAGGAAATCAGAAAGTAAATAATAGAAAAATAAAGGTAAGAGAAATGTGTATGAATTTTTTTTACATTTGATCAAAATTAACATTACGATAATATTTGTAGAAATCCTTGATAGATATGTATAGTGACGTTTTGGATGAATTAAGTGAATATGACAGTGCTTATTCGATCGCTGATCATTTACCTAGAGTAGTAGTCGTAGGTGATCAAAGTTCTGGTAAAACATCCGTATTAGAAATGATTGCTCAAGCAAGAATATTTCCAAGGTATTATTTCAAACTATATATATGAAATTTCAAAATTCTATCAAATACAATATATATACAGTTTTATTATTTTAGGGGTGGTGGTGAAATGATGACGCGTGCACCAGTCAAAGTTACTTTAAGCGAAGGACCATATCACATTGCACAATTTAAAGATAGTTCTCGTGAATTTGATTTGACTAAAGAATCAGAATTAGCCGAGCTTAGGCGAGAAGTAGAATTACGTATGAAGAATAGTGTGAAAAATGGAAAAACAGTTAGTCAAGATGTTATTTCTATGACTGTAAAAGGTCCTGGTCTTCAACGTATGGTATTAGTTGATCTTCCTGGTATCATTAGCGTAAGTAAAATAATTTGATTATGTTATTATCAAGTAATAATGTTTAATATTAATTATATTAAACTGAAATATATATTTTGTAACAGACAGTTACTGTTGACATGGCAGAAGATACTAAAGATGCTATTCGACAAATGACTCAGCAATACATGAGTAATCCTAATGCTATAATTCTATGCATTCAAGATGGATCGGTTGATGCAGAAAGAAGCAATGTAACTGATCTCGTTTCTCAAATGGATCCTTCTGGAAAAAGAACTATTTTTGTTTTAACTAAAGTAAATAAACAGAAACATATTCTCATTAAAAGATAAACCATATATTATAAATATTTGTGATTGTATTATTTTTGAATTGTCACGTTTAGGTAGATTTAGCAGAAGAAAATTTAACTAATCCAGAAAGACTCAAGAAAATATTACAGGGAAAATTATTCCCAATGAAGGCTTTAGGTTACTTTGCTGTTGTTACTGGTCGTGGTAAACAAGATGATAGTATACAAACTATCAAGGATTATGAAGAAAAATTCTTTAGAAATTCTAAACTTTTTAAGTAAGTAAAACATATTAAAATAAAAACAAATAAAAAATGTACACTGCGAATTATATGTACTTTAAATATTTATACTATATATATATTATTTTATCTAGGGATGGTTTGGCTATGTCTGGTCAAGTAACTACTAGAAATTTGAGTTTAGCAGTAGCTGAATGTTTTTGGAAAATGGTAAGAGAAACGGTAGAGCAACAAGCTGATGCTTTCAAAGCCACCAGATTTAATTTAGAAACAGAATGGAAAAATAATTTCCCAAGGTAAAATAAATGATTTTAACAAATTAACGAAAAATCCAAATTTATATATTTCCATTGGATTAAATAAAATATCGATTATATATTTAAGATTACGTGAGTTGGATAGAGATGAATTATTTGAAAAGGCTCGTGGTGAAATTTTGGATGAAATCGTGAATTTATCTCAAGTATCACCTAGGCATTGGGAAGAAGTTTTAATGACACGAATTTGGGAAAAAGTTAGTATGCATGTATTTGAAAATATCTACTTGCCTGCAGCACAAAGTGGATGTCCAGGTATGATCAACTTTTTAAAATTAATCATTGTATATAAAAAGTACAAAATTTATTAATATAATATAATATTCTCTTTTTGTAAATATATGGATAATATATTATTTTTAGGTACATTTAATACAACCGTCGATATTAAATTGAAACAATGGGCAGATCAGCAATTACCGGCTCGTAGTGTTGAAAGTGGATGGGAATGTTTACAACAAGAATTTCAAAATTTTATGGCACAAGCACGTTTGAATCCTGATCACGATGATATTTTTGATAATTTGAAGAATGCTGTAGTAAGCGAGGCTATGACAAGACATTCGTGGGAAGTAAAAGTATGTCTTATTATGCAAAGAATATTCTTAAATTTGCTTTACCAAGAAAATAACAAAACAAATAATTAATATTGATTTATGTTTTTACAGGCATCTGAAATGTTACGTGTTATTCAACTGAATACATTGGAAGATAGAAGTATAGGTGACAAACGAGATTGGGATCAAGCTGTACGATTTTTGGAAACGTCTGTTAAAGAAAAATTACAAAGTACCGAACAAATTTTACGAGATATGTTAGGTCCTAGTCGTAAAGAACGTTGGTTTTATTGGCAAAGTCAAACGGAGGAACAACAAAAACGGAATGCAGTTAAAAATGAATTAGATAAAATTCTTTATACAGACAAAGTAAGATATATCATTCTTTTTTGTCGATATTTTATTAAAGTATTGAACTATCTATCAATTGAATATTTTTTTTTTTATATTAGAAACACGCACCTACTCTCAGTCAGGACGAGCTTACAACTGTTAGGAAAAATTTACAACGTAATTCCTTGGAAGTAGACAATGAATTTATACGTGAAATTTGGCATCCAGTTTACAGAAGATTTTTCTTACAACAAAGCTTAGCCAGAGCTTATGATTGTAGAAAAGGCTACTATCTTTATCATACTGGTCATGAGAGTGAAGTTAGTAAAAAACAAATAAAGATTATACAAATAAGTCGAATTAAATTAATTCAATTAGTCTGTATAATTATTACAATGTTAACAAAAATATTTCTTCTTTCTATATAGATGGAGTGTAACGATGTGGTACTTTTCTGGCGAATTCAGCAAGTACTAAAAGTAACATCGAACGCATTAAGACAACAAATAATAAATCGTGAAGCTCGTAGGTTAGACAAGGAAATTAAAGAAGTTTTAGAAGATTATAGTCAAGATAATGAAATGAAGATTAAATTACTCATAGGTAGACGTGTTACATTAGCTGAAGAATTGAGTAAGTAAATATTAATCATATAATTCTATTAAAAAAAAAATAAATAAATAATATAAATTACAACAAATGATTTTTATTTGTAGAACGCGTTAGACAAATTCAAGAAAAACTTGAAGAATTTATTCAAGCATTGAACAAAGAAAAATGAAGCAATGGATAGAAGATAACAATTAATTATTAAACTATTGAATGCTACGCAAGCTGTAAGAAAATATTTTCGATGTCTACTTTTTATTTAACGATTTAACTTATTTATATTAATAAGGCAGGAAAATAGATTATTAAGATCATCATGTTAACGAATGCATACGAAAATAATCTAATTTTCGTTAAAAAAAAGTGAGATTGAAGAACCTAGTCTATCGTATCCATATTTTTGTGTATTTCTTATCATTAAGATTTACAAGTTCAATACAATTATGTGATATATATATATATGTATCGATGTATTCACAAAAAGAAACCAAAAATATGTGAAAGAAAATATTATTGAAGCTTTTGAGTTACAAATCAAACAAATGTAAAGTCTAAGCGAAAGATATTCTGTATAATACCATTACTTCTATTTCAAACCATTCGCTTGATATCTGTAATTATACTATCATCATACAGTACGTAAATAAAAAAGAAATTGTTTCGTTATAAATAAATATGCAAATAAAATGCTAAAATACTTACATGATATTAAAAAAGAAAAAAATTCTTTATATGTAAATAAACTAATACATTATTTATTTTCTATAAATTATTTCAGACTGGCAAATACAGCGATTTGTATCAGTATTCATATCTACCTATGTACCTGCCTAATTTAAAAAATTAAGGGTTAATTTTTGTTTATATTGTTTACATTATTGATTTAGTTAGACAGGCTGGCCAAATGCAGTGATGCCGGGATGTAAGATTTTCTCCCACGTGGGAGCCTTCGTGCGCATGCGCATGTGACGTCACAGCTCGACGGCGATTGGTTCCATGAACGTATCTATGTGCTGCAGTAGATATACGTAAGGGGCCCTTCCCAGTCTACGGTATTTTAATTGTCACGGGGTTCTAACGATACCTCATATTTGAATGAAGTATATACGTTACTGAGAATTAGATAGTACGCATGCGTGAGAAAAATCCTACCACCTAGCATCACTGCTAGTAATATCTGAGTATTACCTGCATTGCTTTACACTATATAGTTAAAAAATTGTAAATAAAACGGATATATAGATTTTTATATTTCTATATTGGAATTAGAGTAATATATTTATTTTCACAATTTATGGTAATGCAATTATATATTTATTGTTTTATTTATGCGTGTAGATGTATATTTATAAATATTAAATAAGGAACAATTGATAATTATTGAAGAAATGGATTCTCCAAGATCACCACACAATAATCTTAGTTCTGAATTGAGAAACATTATTACTAATAAAAATGTTATGACTATGAAATCACGTATGAAAGGTATGTAAAAATAATAATAATAATAATAATAAATATTTATTATGTTTTTTTTTAATGATATAAATTAATTGATTATTTTCAGTTTTAAATGCTCTTAACGAAGATGATTTAAGAAATAAAGCTGAAAGAGAAAAACGTTTGCGACTACAAGCTATAAAAGAAATTTTAACAACAGAGGCAACATATTTACAACAATTGGAAATATTAATGGAGGTATTTAATTATTATTAAATAATATATAAATAATCTATATATTGTTAATTAAAATCTAATAATAAATATTTTTCTTTTCAGTTCTTTTTACAACCGATCATTGAAAAAAAGTTTTTCAATGGTTTATTAATAAATACATTATATGAAAATGTAAAAACATTGTATAACATTAGTGGAGAATTAATTAGAGAAATAAGAGAAGATTCTGAGTGCATTGCTGGAGCATTTTATAAGCTTGCTCCATTCTTTAAATTGTATTCTGTTTATGCATATGATTATGAACAATTATCAACACTTATACAGGTATTTAAATGTGTTTATTTTTTTGTATCTTTAAATTGTCAATTTGTATCTAATAAAAATTTTATTCTTTTGTATAGATTATTCAACAGAAGGATCCTGTTTTTAAAAATTTCATAAGTGAACAAGAAACACGACCAGAAGTTGGCAGAACATTGTCTTCGTTATTAATTATTCCTATACAAAGAGTACCAAGATATAAATTACTTTTGAAAGAAGTTTTACAACATACTCCTAACAAACATAAAGAGTATAATCTTTTACAAGGTAATTTGTATCTGTAATTATGATATGATCATTTTATATATATTTATTAACATTATTATTATTATTATATTTCTCATTTTTGGTACAGCGTGTTTAGTCGAAGTTGAAAAAGCTGCTGTACATATTAATAATTTAGTTGCCGTTAATGAGGATACCAAAAAATTATTGAATCTACAAAAGTGTATTGTAAATGGTGTTAATTTGGTAAAACCTGGAAGAAAAATACTCATGCAAGGAAATTTAATGAGAGTTTCTAGAAATGGTGTTACTGCTTATAGAAGATATTTTGTACTTTTAAATGATACTTTATTATATTGTAAAGGAAAACCAGAAAGTTCATTGACTGTACGTTGTGTACTTCCTTTAAATAAGTGTAAAGTAGTAAGTGTATTGAGTGGTGGACTTTTTCGTGTAACGTGTTTAGAAGAAACTCTGTTTTTATATTCAGAAAATGGAGATAGCAATTCTTGGATACAAATGTTGCAAAAATCTATCATAAAGGTAATATTATTCTTATGAAATAATTTATGTTTTTTTTATATATATATATATATATATATATATATATAAAGATCTAATTTTCATTTATTTTTATTTTTAGTACACTGAAAGTAGACAAACTTTAAGGAAGGATAGTAGTTCAAGACAACCACTGAGACATAAAAATATCAATTTATTTCAGTCGGATGATATACAAGAAAAATATTTAAAACGAAAAAGAGAGAAAAATAAAAAAGATGTATGACATCAGTTTTAATATACTTTCATATTTCAGTTTAAATATATTTAATGTTAGTTTTAATAATAATTATTAGGTTCAATTGAATCCATCAAGAATAATGTATTTTGACAAGGAGAATCAAGAGAATGATATGGAAGAGGAGAAAGAAAATAGTTTTCAGTTACATAGAAAATCAAAAAGATTTAAAACTGATAATCTTACAAGCATACACCAAGACAAGGTTTTAATTATATATATATATATATATATATATATATTATAAAAATATATGTGTACGAATAATTTCAAATTTCTGTAATATAAATGTCAAAATATTGTCTTTCTCTTTTTTTCTTTCAGGATACTTTAGAACTTTGCGTAATGGAAAGTTCAAATACATCGTTTTCATATTTGACTGATTCAAATTCTACTCATTATTTTTCCTCAGCATTAAAAAATATTGGTGAATTTTTTTCATATATTAGCTCATCTGTAAAAAATCTTTTTGGACATAGATAATGTTCTTATATTCATTAACAAATGAATTGTAATATATTGGTGGAGGGATTTGATATATTTTTTTTAAATTATAATAATTCAAATATTGGAAATTTTTTATTATTTTTTTTTTTTTACTTTTCAAAGTAATCACAGTGTATTTTTATACATTATATATTATATATATATATATTTATTAAAAACAATAGTATATGAAAAATTTATTCTCGTATATTTTTAACATATCTGTAAATTATAATTCATGATGTTAAACACGTATATTAGTAGAGATATTTTAAAATAATTAAATATATACGTAATGTGTTGGTATTATGGAGAGTAGAGGTAAAGAGGAGTATCATCTGTGTATATGAAATGCATTCAATTAGGGTGGCGCCACAGTAGCTTCAGGGTAACCTTTTGTCTACACCAGCGCCATTCTGGAAAGTTTGTTACTCCTTACCTGTACCCTCCAAAGTTAATATAGCATTAGTAAAGATTTGAAAAAAAAAAAGAAATCGATTCATAGAGGGCGTTGTTCATTAAGTCTTTTCGTCATCAGATGGCGTAATGGTAGCGACGACTTGCGTCCCGTCTTTTTTATCGAGTAAAAGTGAAATTGAGGTTGTAATCAGAAAATATTTTATTATTAATAATTATAAGATATAAGGGTTTTAAAATAGAGGAAAAAAAGAAAAAGAAAACGTAAGAAATAAGGTATAGTGTTATACTTCTGTTACTTTATTTAACGAAGCTTCCGTATTTATGTTTGAAGAAGAGAATGTAATTGGCGGTTTCTACTCATGTACGAGTGCTTCAGGATATAATCTTTCTATTTATCGTTAGAAAAGATTTAACTATGGCGGTTGGTTCAACAAAAGTAGTGCAAGTGACGAATATTGCACCCCAAGCAACTAAAGATCAAATGCAAACTTTATTTGGTTACTTAGGGAAAATAGAAGATATTAGATTATATCCCACTATAAGGGATGTAGCAGTGCCCGTACAATCACGTATATGTTATGTTAAATTTCATGATCAAGGATGTGTTGCAGTTGCTCAACACATGACCAATACAGTTTTCATTGACCGAGCTTTAATAGTTATTCCTTATCAAAATGGAGATATTCCAGATGAACAGAGAGCGCTTGAATTAACCAACAATGGCACCGTTGTACCAGGTAAATAGTTACAATTTCATAATGATTATTATTATATCATTGTTTATCATTTAATTTATGTTTTGTTACACAAATATTAATATTTCTTTTTAGGTTTATATCCTTCTGAGCCAAAGCTTCCACCAAATGTTGTAAATGCAATTGAAGGAATTCCTCCTAATCATGTAATTACAACAATGGATCCTAAATTAGAAGCTCATGGTTTACCACCTTATCCACATTTACCTGGCCATTTGGATAGTAGAAGAATTGAGGAAATAAGGAGAACATTAGTGATAGCCAATTTAGATGCTTCTACAACTGCTGAACAATTGCTTGATTTTTTTAGCAATAATAACGTTGAGATTAAGTACTTACGACTTTGTACAAGAGATTCTGATACAGATCATTATGCATTGGTGGAACTTACTGAACAAGGAGCAGTGGTTTCTGCATTATTATTAAATGGAAAAACCCTCGGTGATAGACACATTAAAATTTATCATTCGACGCAAGCAATAGCTAAACCGGAAGCTAAAAGTAATGAAGCGGCTCAAAAAGAAATAGAGGAAGCTATGTCACGTGTTAAAGAAGCTCACAATTTGATTTCTGCAGCGATAGATCCAATGATTGGAATGTTGTCCAAAGATAAACGTAGTCGCAGTGGTTCACGCAGTAGAAAATCAAGATCTAGATCACGTGGTCGTAGTAGACGTTCTCGATCGCGAAAAAGATCACGTTCACGACACCGACGTTCACGTTCGCGTCATCGACGTAGATCCAGATCCCGATCAAAACGTTCTCGTTCCAAGGAACGTAGAAGAAAATCGCCATCACGTAGAAGAAGTGGCTCTCGTAGTCGTCATCGTTCACGATCACGATCAAGAAGATCTAGATCACGTAGATCTCGATCTAGATCGAGAGATCGTAGAAAAAGATCACCGAGACGCAGGAGTCGTTCGCATTCTCGTAGTAAACGTTCTAAATCTAAATCTAGACGGTCAAGATCTAAATCTAAATCTAGAACATCTAAATCGAAGTATTCTGACAAATATAAGGACAAGGATAAAGACAGAGGTAAGGATAAATCTGATAATGGTAAAAAAAGTGACGGGGATAAAGGTGACAAGGAAAAAAGTGAAAAGAAATCCAAGGATAAAAAGTCAGACAAAGAATCAAAGTCAGATGAGAAAAATAGAGTTACAACTGATAATGATAGTAAAGATAAGGAATCTGTATCTTAAATTTGTCAACAAATTTCATTGATTAACACGTATTTTTATTTTTATTATTATTTGGTTCTATCATTTCAATTTACATTATAAGATATAATTTGTCTGTACAGTAAGCATATTAATTCAAATTTATAAAAACATATATATATATATATCATTTATATGTTATATTATGTTTATTTGTGAAAAGAAAAAAAAGAAAAAAAACAAAATATTACTTTTTTGGTATTCTTGCTTGCTAGTAATTATATAATTTTTATAATTCATTCCTTGCCATCCATTTATAAATTACACTCCCTATTTTATTTGTATTCTTTTTTTTTTTTTTTTAAATTCTTATGTACTTTACAAAATTATATTTCCGTTACAATAATAAATGCTATTGTGCCGATAGATATATGTATTTAAATATTTATTTTTTACTACTATAGATTTTGATAAAATGATATATCTTCATATTCTCCAAGTTTTACTGGAACTTTATTGCGAATGAGATCTTTTTGAACGTACTTTAAACCTGATCGTCTTTTCATTAACATCTATACAAAATGAACCCATAATTTAATCATCTTATTATTACAATAATTAATTGCTTTTATTGCAAGTGAATTTTATTGAAAATTTTGTTAAAAAAACAAAAAAAAAAAGGGAAAATAATTTATTGTCATTTACCATGCCTCTATTATTTTGCGCTGATAAATTATCATCTGATACAGAAGCCATCTCCATTGTATCATCTGTCATGTTTTTATTTTGTGCTATAGTTTTTATTTCATCAGGGCCTAATTAAAAAAAAAAAAAAAAAAATGATTAATTTAACATTAACAATATTTTAATATGTGACATCAAACTTACTTAATAAACATTCATCGTATTGATCTAATGGATCAATTCCAAGAAATTCAGATAGATTGTCTGGATATCGTAAATCCATGAATATAATTATTAAAGCCAGGATAATACAAAAAATACCTATATATATATATATATATAATTAAATTTACAATACATTAATAAGTTTTACTTTATAAGATGACAAGAGATAAAGATGTGTAAGAATTTTTACCACATGCAACAGACATCCAAAAATGTAAACCAAAATGCAATGTTAGAGTTTCATTTTCAAATGGTATAACAAGTGGAGTCTCATTGCGTATAGTTGACCATAAGATACAAGTTAATATTTGTAGTCCACCAACTAATCCAATTAAGTAAGCTGCATATCGGCTTACTGATTGCAACATTATATTTGACACTATCCAACAACTAAATGCAGCCCTGTGTGAATTGAGGTATATATTAGTAAAAATGTAATATAATAGAATATTTACATAAAATTGAGTATATATAACATTTAATTGTTCTTATATATGATTATGTACAAAAAGCATTAATGAGTATTTTATACGTATTATATATATATATATACAAACCATAATAAGATATGACAGTACCATCCAGCAGTTCGATAAAATCTACCAAATCGTATACCTTCCCCATCAATAACAAAATATTCAGCAACCCATAAAATTGGAATAGGTAAACCTTTTCTTTGAGCACTTCGTAAACTTCTTTGTATTAAACCACCTAAAATAATAATAGTTAATACATTATTATTTGAATAATGTATATATTGTTACGGTAAAAGTACAAACTATAAGGTCCAAATCCAAATCTGCCCTGATCCCATGTCCATGAAAATCTTTCATTGTAATTAATAATTTCATTTTGTAGTTCACCATTTTTTCCTTTGCCTGTTAATCAAATTTATACATTCATTTGCAATTACTTATATACATATAGAAAAAAAAAACAAAAAAAAGAGATGGGTGGTCTCTATAAACTTACCTTTCAAAGTAATATTAACTGACCTCAGACCTATTTTTACACTAATTACTGAATCTATCTCTGCATTACTTCCAGCTTTATAAGGTGCAACAGTTTCTATGCTACCAACTTCCCATTCTTGTCCAAAGTTCTCCACTGGCAAATTTGTTTAGAACAATACACATGATAATTCAAAAAATATGTACATATATATATATTATGTAGAAAGTATAAAAACAAAATATTCTTACAAAGCAAGAAACATCCAATTATTAAACTGAAGCTGATTTTGATGGTAACATAAATGCTCTAGTTGCATGAAACAAAAATTATATATATATATATTAATATTATTTTTTGTTCTTTTTTAATTATTTATTTATCGCGAATGATAAATAAATAAATAAATAAAATATTCAAATTGATACTTACGCGCTTTTTGCTATAGCCTGGGATAATACAAACAAATGCAATTAATATAAGAAGAAATACAGTAAGGAAAAGAATTTCAACTACATCAAATAATACTGGTGTTATATCAGAATGATATTGCGATGGAAAACCCTCTGATGATCTACCAAAATCAAAAAATCCCATTTTTCTTATAATTTCAAATATAATACTGAAATGTTGTCTTCTTTTTGAGCTAACAATAAGTCTAATAAGTCTTTTATAATCTTATCGCGGTTTACTTCTTTCCGTTTTTGATGATGATATTTAATTTGTAAAGTGTTTTTTTGCTTTTACAAAAGATTTATATGGTAGTACGATGTTTCATTTTACTTCAAAAATATATAGTTGAAAGCATATATATATATATATACGTAAGTTTTTATGAATATTAAATAATATATTTTAAAACTGAGTATATTTAAATTTTAGATAAATTTACAGCAGATTCATATTAACGCGCCTTTTTTCTTAACACGCAACGATTGGTCAAAGTTTCAAATATTTAACATTTCATATGTTTTTCTAACAATAAATTTATATTTATATATAACATTATTGAATAATAATAAATGATGTATAGAGTATTTGTTTTTTTATTCTGTAATACTTTTAAATAGATTATGCTTTTATTATTATTATATATATATATATATATATATA